AGATAGCATAGACATTTTAATGATATTAATTCTTCCATGAGTAAGGAATATCTTTACATTTTTTGTATCCTTTGATTTCTGTCATCAATGTTTGATCATTTTCATTGTAGAGTTATTTCACTTTGGTGAAATTTATTACTAAATATTTTTTGGTAGCTATTGTGAATGGGATTTCTATTCTGGTTTTTTTTTTAAGTGAAATAATTTTTGGTGTATAAAAATTCTAATGTTTTTGTATGTTGATTTTGTATCCTGTGACTTTATTCAATTGGTTTGACAGTTCTAACAGCTTTTTGGTGGAGAGTTCAGTGTTTTCCATGAGCAACTTCCTGTCATTTGCAATTATGAATATTTTGACTTCCCCCTTTCCAATTTTGAAGCTCTTTCTTTCTTTCTCCTCTGTAACTGCAATTGCTAATACTTCCAATACTAAATTGAATGACGAAAGTGAGCATCCTTGTCTTGTTCCATTTGTGAGAGGAAATGCTTTCTGCTTTTCCTAGTTCAGTATGGTATTGGCTGTTGGTTTGTCATTTATAACCTTTATTATTTTGAGGTATGTTAACTCCATATGTACTTTGCTGAGGGGTTTTATCATGGAGGGAGATTGAACTTTATCAATTGCTTTCTCTGCATCTATTGAGACGACCATACAGTTTTTATTCCTCTCTCTGATGTGATTTATGATGTTTATTGATTTTTTTAATGTTGACCCACCCTTGAATCTCTGGGATAAATCCCATTTGATCATGTCGTATGATCTTTTTGATGTAGTATTGGAATCCGTTTACTAATTCTTTTAAAGAATTTTTGCAGCTCTGTTCATTAAGGATATTGGTTTGTCATTTTTGTGTTGTGTCTTTGGTTTTGGTATCAGTGATTCTGGTCTTATAAAAAAGCTTGGCAGAGTCTCATCTTTTTCAATATTTTCAAATAGTTTGAAAAATACTGGAGTTCTTTAAATATTTTGTGGAACTCAGTAAAAAAGGCATCATATTCTGGGCTTTTCCTTGATGGGAGACTTTTTTTAAAGATTTATTTATTTATTTGAAAGTGAGAGTTACACAGAGAGAGAGGGAGAGGCATTGAGAAAGAGAGAGAGAGAGGCCGGCGCCGCAGCTCACTAGGCTAATCCTCCGCCTTGCGGTGCCGGCACACCAGGTTCTAGTCCCAGTCGGGGCACCGGATTCTGTCCTGGTTGCTCCTCTTCCAGTCCAGCTCTCTGCTGTGGCCCGGGAAGGCAGTGGAGGATGGCCCAAGTCCTTGGGTCCTGCACCCCATGGGAGACCAGGAGAAGTACCTGGCTCCTGCCCTCAGATCAGCGCGGTGCGCCGGCTGCAGCCTGCCGGCCGTGGCGGCCATTGGAGGGTGAACCAATGGCAAAAAGGAAGACCTTTCTCTGTGTCTCTCTCTCTCACTGTCCACTCTGCCTGTCAAAAAAAAAAAAAAAAAAAGAGAGAGCGAGAGAGAAGGAGGTGGGTCTTCTATCTGCTGGTTCACTCCCCAGATTGCTGCAATGGCCAGAGCTGCGCCGATCCGGAGCCAGGAGCCAGGAGCTTCTTCCAGGTCTCCCACGTGGGTGCAGGGACCCAAGTACTTGGGCCATCCTCTACTGCTTTCCCAGGCCATAACAGAGAGCTGGATTGAAAGTGGAGCAGCCAGGACTCAAACCAGCACCCATATGGGATGCTGGCACTGCAGGCGGTGGCTTTACCCACTATGCCACAGCACTGGCCCCAGTGGGAGATTTTAATTACTGTTTCAATATCATTACTTGTTATGGGTCTGTTCAGATTTTCTGTACCTTCTTGATTTAATCTTGACACATTATATGTATCCAGAAATTTATCCATTTCTTTCAGGTTTTCCAATTTGTTAACATAGTTGTTAATAGTAGTTTCTTATGATCTTTAGTGTTCCTGTGGTATTTATTGTAATAGCCTACTTTTCATCTCTAATTTTATTTATTTGACACTTTTCCCTTTTTCTTTGTTAGTCTAGTTAAACATTTGTCTGTTTACCTTCCCCCAAAACCAGCTTTTCATTTTTTAAAAAATTGTAATTTCATTTATTTCTGTTCTGATTCTTGTCTCACCTCCTGCTAATATTTTGGGTTTTTTAATATTTTTAAGTCATTGTGGTGCATCATTAAATCATTTATGTGAGACCTATTTTTTTAACAAAAGCAATTAATGCTACAAAGTTCCATCTTAATTACTCCTTTTGTTATATCCCTCAGGTTTTGATATGTTGTGTTTCCATTTTTGATTGTTTCAAGAATATTTTTGACTGCCTTTTCAATTTCTCCAGTGATCCATTGGTCAATCAGTAGCATGTTGTTTAATTTCCAGGTATTAGTAAATTTTCTATTTTTCTTGTTGCTATCTAGTTTTATTCTTTTGTGGTCTGAGAAGATACATACAATGATTTCAATCTTTTTAAATTTATTAAGACTTGGGGTTGGTGTTGGCACAGTAGGTTGGGCTGACTGCAAAGCCAGATCTCATATAGGAGTGTTGGGTTGAGTCACAGCTGCTCCACTTCTGATCCAGCTCCCTGCTAATGTGCCTGGAGTTAATTTAGTTGTAAAACATTACTACAACAAATCTAGTCACTCACTTTGAGACAGAGAGATAGACACTGAGAGATGATGGCCTTGCTTGGGAAAAGATTGAAGCCAAGGATCAGAAACTCAATTTGAAGATCTAGTCACTCAGAGTGAGAGACTGAGAGATGGTGGCCATGCCAATTGAAGGCAAGGATCAAAAATTCAATTTTGGTCTGGCGCTGTGATGCCATGGGTTAAGGTGCCTCCTGCAATTCTGGCATCCCATATGGGCATCAGTTTGAGTTCCAGCTGTTACACTTCCAATCCAGCTCTCTGCTAATACACCTGAGAAAGCAGTAGCAGATGGCCCAACTGCTCGGACACCTTCATCCTGATGGGAGACCTGGGATGGAGTTCCTGGCTCCTAGCTTTGGCCTGGCCCAGCTAGGCTGTCACAGCCATTTGGGGAGTGAACCAGCAGATAGAAGAGCTCTTTCTCTGTCTCTGACTTTCAAATAAATGAAATCAGTTTTTAAAAGTTAGTGAGACTTGATTTGTGGCCTAATATGTGGTCTATCAGAGAAATAGTCCATATACTGGTGAGAAGTATGTGTACTCTATAGTTGTTGGTGAAATATTCTCTAAGTTGTTAGGTCCATCTGCTCAATGATATAGTTCAACTCTAATGTATCTTTGTGGATTTTCTGTCTGGGTGATCTATCCATTGATTACAGTGGGGTGTTGAAGTCCTCTACTATTATTGTATTCTATCTCTCCCTCTAGGTCTTATTTTGGGTGCATACATATATTTATTGTAACAGTTTATTTTATCAATATCTATGCTTATTCATCTTTTTATTCTCATTTTGAAAACATTTATTCATTTATTTGAAAGTCAGAGTTACAGATAGAGGAGGAGACACAGATTATCCATCTGCTAATTCACTCCTCAGCAGGCCGCAATGGCTGGGGATGGGCCAGGCTGAGGCCAGAAGCTAGGAGTTTCATGCAGATCTCCCATGTGGTTGATAGGGGCCCAAGTGCTTGGGCTATCTTCTGCTGCTTTGCCCAGATCATTTGCAAGGAGCTGATTCAGAAGTGGACTAGCTGAGACTTGAACCAACACCCATATGAGATGCTGCCATCCCAGTTGGCAGCCATTCCCCCTATGCCACAACTCTGGCCCCTGTCTACCTAGTTTTATAATTTTTTATTTTTTATTTAATTTCAGTTTTATTTGAAGAGACTACAGCCACAGCAGCTCATTTTTGGTTTCCATTTTGCTTGGTGTATTTTCAGTCTGTGTGTATCTTGACTTATAACTTTTTTCATCCATTCAGTCAACTTATATCTTTTGGAGAATTTAATCCATTTACTTTATTCTTTTTTTTAAAGATTTATTCTTTTATTTGAAAGGCATAGTTACAGAGAGAGGGACAGCCATCGATTGAGCTTTTCTGTCTGCTGGTTCACTCTTCAAATGGCTGCAAGAGCCAGGGCTGGGCCAGGCCAAAGCCAGCAGCTAGGAGCTTCTTCCTGATCACCCACATGGATGGCAGGGGCCCAAGTACTTGGGCCATCCTCTGCTGCTTTCCCAGGCTCATTGGGAGTAAGCTGGACTAGAAATGGAGCAGCCAGGACTCTAACTATTGCCCATATGGGATGCCTGTGCTGCAGGTCCTGGCTTAACCTGCTGTGCCACAGCACTGGCCTAAACCCATTTACTTTGAAGGTTAATATTGATAGACAATAAGTAACTTCTGTCATTTTGTTAATTGGTTATTGGTTGAATCTTCTTTGTTAGTGATGTTGGCACTATCATGTTTTCATGTTTACTTCCAATGTGGAAATGCCTTCAAGATTTCTTATAAAGCTGGTATGATGTCAATAAATTCAGTTTTTGCTTGTCTGGGAAACATTTTATTTCTTCTTCACTTCTTTTTTTTTTAAGATTTATTTATTTATTTGAAAGTCAGAGGTGCAGAGAGAGAGAGAGAGAGGTCTTCCATCTGATGGTTCACTCCCCAGATGGCTGCAATGGCCGGAGCTGCGCCAATCCGAAGCCAGGAGGCAGGAGCTTCCTCTGGGTCTCCCATGCAACTGCAGGGGCCCAAGGACTTGGGCCATCTTCTACTGCTTTCCCAGGCCATAGCAGAGAGCTGGATTGGAAGAGGAGCAACTGAGACTAGAACTGGCACCCATATGGGATGCCAGCACTTCAGGCCAGGGCCTTAACCCAGTGCGCCACAGTGCCGGCCCCTATTCTTCACTTCTAAAAGACAGTTTGACTGGATGTTATATTCTTGGTTGGAAGTGTTTTCTTTCAAGACCTTGAATCTATTACCCACTCTTTCCTGGCATGCAGGGTTTCTGCTGAGAAATCTGCTGTTAGTCTAATTGGTTATCCTTTATACGTAATTTAACATTTTTCTTACTATCTGTAGGATTTTTTTCCTTATCCTTAACTTCTGATAATTTGTCTATAATATGCCTTGTAGAAGATCTTTATTGGTTCAATCTGGTTGGATTATCTGAGACTCCTATATCTGGATCCATATCTCTTTCCAGACATGGGAAGTTTTCAACTATTTCATTTAGTAGGTCCTCAATGATTTTTTTTTCCTTTTTTTTTTTTTTTTTTTTTGGCAGAGTGGACAGAGACAGAGACAGAGAGAAAGGTCTTCCTTTTGCCGTTGGTTCACCCTCCAATGGCCGCTGTGGCCGGCGCACTGCAGCCCACGCACCACGCTGATCCAAAGGCAGGAGCCAGGTGCTTCTCCTGGTCTCCCAAGCGGGTGCAGGGCCCAAGCACTTGGGCCATCCTCCACTGCACCCCCAGGCCATAGCAGAGAGCTGGACTGGAAGAGGGGCAACCGGGACAGAATCCAGCGCCTCAACTGGGACTAGAACCCGGGGTGCCAGCCCGCAAGGCAGAGGATTAGCCAATTGAGCTGTGGTGCCGGCCACAAGTATTAGCTTAATGCTATCCCATATGTTGCAGAGTCTTCGTTCTTTTTTTTTTTTAAAGATTCATTTTATTTATTTGAATGACAGAGTTACAGAGAGGGGTAGAGGTAGAGAGAGAGAGGTCTTCCATCTGCTGGTTCACTCCCAGATGGCCACAACAGCCAGAGCTGCACCAATCCAAAGCCAGGAGCTTCTTCCGGGTCTCCCATGTGGGTGCAGGGGCCCAAGCACTTGAGCCGTCTTGTACTGCTTTCCCAGGCCATAGAAGAGAGCTGGATTGGAAGAGGAATAGCTGGGACTAGAACCAGTTCCCATATGGAATGCCTGCACTTCAGGCCAGGGCTTTAACCCACTGTGCCTCAGCACCAGCCCCTTGTTCTTTTTAATTCTTGTCTCTCTATTTGCCTCAGACTGGGTTATTTCAAAAGTCTTGTCTTGCAGGTCAGATTTTTTTCCTCCACTTGGTCTTCACTGCTGTTGAAGCTCTCAATTGTAGTTTTTATTTCATTGATTAAAGTTTTCAGCTTCAAAATTTGGTTATTTTTAATGACTTCTGTATATTGAATTATTCATGTGAACCATTGTTTTTCTTCACTTCTTTAAATTGTCTATTTATATTCTCTCACACTTGATTGAGTTTCTTTAGGATCATTATTTTTAATTCCTTTTCAGGCACTTCATATATTTTCTTCACATGACAGTCTATTTCTGGAACAATTGTGGTCTTTTGTAGATGTCATGATTCCTTCTTCATTTCTCCTGTGTCCTTGTATTGACATATGCATATCTGGTGTAATAATTCCATCTTTATTGGAGTAGAATTCATTGGAAAATACTTTTTTGTTTAGATGGAATGTGGGGTGTTCCTTGGATTGTTGATTTGGCTTTCTTTTTAGGTGAGCTCAGAAATGGAACCTCTGAATGTTTTCTTCTGCAATAATCAGTGTCAGCAATGTCTACAATAGCCACAGTTATCTAGTACAGCAGTTTTATGGAGGTAATAGTATGACTTTGAGCTGGACATGAGCTTCCAAAGGTGTGTGTCTTTAATCTCCAGAGTTGGGTATCAGTCACACTAGGGCTTTGGTGATTAAAACTGTTTCTGGTGCTACGGGACACAGAGGGGCCCATCCCATTGTCTCAGCAGGCAAGTGTGAGTGATGCTTTGGGTAGCAGTAGCTGTGGTCCCAACTGCATGTTGTGGATAGAACCTTCTCTAGGTCATTCTGTGTGAGCATGACTGAAGCTGGGGCTTATGGCACCTAGAGCCTGAGCCCCAGCACTGGGAGATGTTAAGGGGAACTTGCCCAGTTCTACAGATTGAATATAGGTTATACTGAGGATTGTGCACTGGCAGATGTGGGTATAGAGTATTGGAATGGAGATAGGGTCTTCCCTAGGTCCTGCAGGGTATGTTCTAATGACTCTAAGGAGTGTAATACTAATGGTCACCATCCTGGAGCTGCTGGATATGGTGGGGTCTTTACCAAAGTCTCTCAGGGTAACTGTCAGTTAGTCCGGGGATTGTCGATTGGTAATCACCAACCTGTGGCAGCACAATGTGGGTAAGTCCAAGTCACTTTAGGGGTTGTGATCCCAGCAGTGATAGTCATGGAGTTGCAGGGTACAGATAGGACTGCCACCAGTTCCCACAGGGAATGCAAAGGTGATGCTGGGACTCCTGCTCTGGCCCTCTAGTACTCTGTGGCAAGAGCTACTGAAGGGTCTTCCTCAGGCCTGGTCCTCTGGGATTTTGTATGGGCTACTGCTGGAAACTTCCTGCAAGCGGCCATGGGGCACTCTTGTAGACAGCATGGAGCAAGTGTAGCTCCAGGGCTTATGTCCTGAACTCCTGCAGTTGCAGGATTCAGAGGGGGCTGCTCTCTGCTCTAGAAAACGCCTTTGTTGTCTCTGGGGGCTTCTGGTAGTGAAGGGGTTGCTTGTTTGCTCTTAAGACAGGTGAAGTTTACCAGCTTTTACTGCAGCTTGGGTCTGGCACTTCAGGGGCAGAGGGCAACAGTGTGGCATCCTTCCTTGGAGCAAGGTGGTCTCTAGGACCTCAGTAAGTGAGGATGATAGAATTGTCCTGGAGGTAGGGCTGCTACAGCAGTGACCAGAGTCATGCCACTTGCTGTGTACCTCTTTCTGGCAAGATGGCATTCTCTTGCAGGGGGACTTGGAAAGGAGCTGTTGATGGTGGCAGTGGGTGGCGTGCTTTGTTTCTCTCTGCCGGCCTTCAGAGTCTACTTGCTGTTTGCAAATCTCTTCACTTTTTTCCTGAAGGTTTTTGCTCCATCTCCTCGGTTCTAATATAGACAAAATCCAGACATTGTCTCCCAGCCAGGGGACTGGGGTAGGAGCAGCACCACTAGCACTGTGCTTGGTTTCTCTACTGATGTAGAAGTCTCTCTGCTGTTGGTAGTTCCCTCACTTTACTGCAGCTTTCCCTCAGACAGTCTTCTGGAAATGCAGTTCTTCCCTCCTTAGGACACTTTTTTTCTGCCTGAGTTGGATGCAGATCCTCTCTCAGTAAATTTATCTTTCAGTTCCATTTTTCCATGAGCATTTTAAAGGATCTTCATGTTGAAGCCTGTGTAGTAACTTTTGTGCACAGTGAAGGTTGAGACTCACCCCATTAGGAGAAATATACTATCCGTATCCTGATCTCTGGGCATTGACACCAACTTGTTCTTAATTATTTACTAAAATATATTTGAAGATAGCAATTTCCCCCATAAAATCAGGATTTCTACATGGATGACATCATGATACACACAAAATTAGTAGTCTTTAAGATAGCCTTTTAATCCCCTAGGTGGGTTCAGGCATTTGATGCAACTGTTAGTCATTGGTTCAATGCCTGGATCCCATGTCTGAGTACCTGGTTCATATCCCAGCCGTTCCACTTCTGATCCAGGTCCCTGCTAATGGCATGGGGAAAGGCGCAGAAGATGGCCCAAGTGCTTGGGCCCCTGCACCCAAATGAGAGACCCAGAAAAAGTTCCTGGCTTTGGTCTAGCCCAGCCCCAGCTGTGGCAGTCACATGGAGAGTAAACCAGCAGATGGAAGATCTCAATCTCTCTTCACCCCCACTCCCCTTCACCTTCCATCCATTGATTCACTCCCCAAATGGTCACAACAGCTAGGGCTGGGCCAGGCCCAAGCCAAAAGCCAGGAGCTTCATCTGAATCTCCCATGTGAAGGACCAGGGCCCAAGTACTTGGGCCATTTTCTGCTGTCATCCCAGGCACATTAGCAGGGAGCTGGATCAGATGTGGAGCAGCTGGGTCCCAAAATGGAATTCATGGGATGCTGGCTTTGTAGGCAGCAGCTTAACCTGTTGCCTTAACCCTGAAGCTGACTTATTTATTTAATTTAGAAAGTCATATCATATGTTAAATCTGTTGACCTTGGGTAGCATTATTTTCAACTTTGCATGAATAATTCTGTTTATATCTATTTCTGTTCACAGATATCTAAAAGTGGGGAAAAGGAATGAGATGTTTCCATCTTTTTAAACTAAAGCAGTTTCTTTTCTACCAGCTCCTCCTTGCACCCCAAGATGGTGGGTTGGACAATGAGTTAACCAAGAGGAGAAAAGTGTGATTCCATTTGGCTCATGTGTTGCACAAACCATGAGGTTTACTGTTTTTTCCAGCAGGCTGAAGTTTGAGAAAGAGGCAGGAGATGGAACAGGACTTAAAGTGGTTGAGTTTTTGTTAAATGCCAGATGCTTCCCATGCTTTATCTCACATCATCTTTATTAAATGCCTTGAGATTAGTGATAGTACCTACTTAAGAAAAGAAGAATCAGGTGCAGACATTGTGAGCCATCTTTGCTCAGAATCCTGACCTTACCTCTCATTGTACCTCTGCCTCAAAGGCAACATTGATGAAGCAAAGCGTTTTCCTAGGCTAAAGGATCATTCATGCATTCTTACTTTTAGTGCTGCAGATTCCTAGACCATTTCTCACACACCTGTAATCAATTTTAAATATCAAAAGTTGCACGGAGATTGAAGCTACACAGGAATTTTTTGTAAGTCTTCTGTGTTTAATCATTCATTTGCTGCTCCCCTGCAGTTGACTGGGTAATTATAAACAAAGGAAATCCTTCAACACTTCTAAGATCTTAGTGAATGGCAGTTATAATAATACAGAAAAATCTCATTGATTTTAATGTCTTTAGTATCATGAATATCATGTAGCACAACTGTGTTACAATTTTGCCATCTGGAAAAAGGAGGAGTGTGTGTGTGTGTGTGTGTGTGTGTGTGTGTGTAAGTTCCATGTGACACCAGTATGCTCTAACAGAATGATGGACATTTTTTGAAATGGACAGGATATGATAGCAGAGGAACTACTGTGGTCGTCCTGACCATCTTCTCATTTTTCAGTCATTACCAAATCTGTCCCTTAGAGTCACTTTTATTTATTTATTTTAGTGTTTGATCAGCTTGTTTTTCTGCTTTGTATCTGAAAAAAAAAATTGGCACATTGTAAATTGAGTCATTAAATAGGAATTTAGTTTGGTTTCCCTGAAAGTCTGTTGTACTGACTTCCTTGATATTATATAATCCTTTGATTCTTTTTTTCCCACTCGATAGAAATTGCTGTGACCTTGTGGAGATGGATTTTGTAAGCAGGATAATGAGTGAGGCATTACCAATAAAGAATTCCGTGTTTTAAATAGCTGGTATGCTAGAATGTAGATGGATTATTGACCTTGTTAGAAAGTTCAAGATTCTAAACCAACAGAATCTAGTTTTATATTAGCTGTTTTAAAACAAACCTCTGAATCATCCCTGCAAGACACCTTAGATTCTGATGCTGTGAGTGGCTGGGAGAAAACTTGCCTGCCTTCTCTCGGATGCACATGGGGCTTCTTGCGGCGCTGTCGTAATGCAATAGTGAGACCTCACCAGCACAGGTGAGAAGCCATCTGCCGTCACTTCTGCTTGGCCATATCACAGGCTCCACGTGTTATTGTTCCTGTTTGGGAGTTGGAAATAAGAGTTTGGTTTGGTGGCACTGCAGGGAAAAGTTGGGCAGTTAGTGGTAGTGCTTTAGAATGCTCTCACGGGTATTGTCAATATGTTAAACTAATGACTTTGAATTTCAGACAGTTCGAAATTGAGAATCACTGAAGGCTCTAGAATAGAAAAAGAATACAATAAAAACAATGTCAAAGGGAGATTCTGTGAGCTGCTTTTGGAAATAGATTGACAGAAAATGAGAGAGAAGGGATCTGAGGAAGCAATTACTGTTGACATTTATTATAGTATTGTTTACGAGGCCCTTAATTCTAGGTGATGGCTCTAAATATGGGCGATATATTATAAAGGGGGATGGGGAAGAATAAAAATAATTCCTCCAGCATAACAGCACATTAGTTTCAACTGGAGACAGCAACAGTTACTCCTAAAACAATTTCAGACATTGTGTTTATGTCTTGTGGGAATTCATACTCCGGTAACTGGTCGCCTGCTGCATTCTCCCGGGCCTTTCTGGGGCTGGTTATTCAACGTTCATCCAGTAATTATTTATTGAGGGTGGACTTTCATGCCAGTGGTTGCACTGGGCACTGGGAGGAGAGCATAAAGCAGACACTTCCTGTGTATTTGTGAGATTTACTCTCTGCTAAAGGACACCAACCATAGTTTACAGGTTCTATTCATGGTTAGTGCAACAATGGAAAAGTACCTCACACGAAGGGCATGTACCACAACTGATACGCTATTTTTCTAAGACCTGTTAAGGATGGTCAAAAATATGGAAAACTTAGTAAATGGGTACATTTTGAATATATTTAATAAGGGAAGTAACCATGTCTCTCTGGACTGGTTTCTGCTTGTGTTTCCCTACATGTGGTGTCTTTCTTTTCCCAAGTTGTTCCTTTATGGGCAACTATTCGGCCCTGTCTCTGTCTCTTTCCCTTTGTGTGGATGGTGGTCTTGTGGGTTTCTTGGTTTCCAAAGTGGGTGTTAGTCTCCCATGTTATTTATAATTATTTGAGTTGCTTGGGCATACAAAGTAAGCTGTTTTGTACCAGTGACTTTGCAGAGGAGTGTGTTTATTTTTTTAACAACTCTGCTGGTATTTATTGATGCCTCAACTCCTTAGGGTTCCGGCTTACTTCTTGGGGGTGAAACAAGGACTCAGGTTGTGTTTTTCTTGGATGAAAATGAATGCTCTCAGGAAGTCTGTGTTTACTCACAGAAAGAGATCTCCTAGGATTTTCCATTGGAAATGTCTGAACCTTGTGATGAACACTGTTTTGGATCCTGACCTGTGGTCGCCTCTGCTAGAGGGCAGGAAGCATTAGTAGGTAGGCAGTGGAGTGATGTGCAATACATTTGGTATTGCACACGTGGTTTCAGATCAGCAGCTTCTGCCTCACCTAGAAACTTGATGGGAATGTAGTGGGAGCCCACCCCTCCCCACTAACTGCCTGGGACACCCTGGGGAGTTGTCACATCCCTCCTTTAGGTGAATCTGATGCATGCTCAGGACTGAGACCCACTCACCTGAAGGCTGGGCACTCAGTGTCCAGCAGGTGAGTAGCAGGAGGACAGTGTGTGGTGAGGCCCCTGGTGTGTATTAGGCAATGGGGCCGGAAGGGCTTTCTGCCCGCTAAGCAGGATGGCTGGAAAGGTGCTGGCTAACATTGGATCTACTTCTGAAGAGACCTTGTCAAGAAAAAAGACAGCCAGTGGCTCTTCGCATTGTAGCTTCTCCAAAAGCCATGGAGCAGTTCTGAGTGACTCAGCCCAGTTTTGTCTCAAAGAAGGCTGTGGAAATAGCACAGCAGGAGCTTTATTGAATTGTTGGATTAAAATAAACATGAATTATTAAGACATTAAGAACTGTGTCCACTAATCCAATGCCATTATAGCTGATGTAATCATCTGTATTAATGTCTACCCTTAATTGTTTTATATAGAATTTGAGCAGCTTACAAGAATAAAAAATAAAATGTTAAAATATAAGTATATATAAATTAGGGACTCGAACAGTAGCTGACAAATCTTTGAGTCATAAGGCCTTTTCTTCTAATAAAATCTTAGTTGAGGCCCAGCAGAAAATACAGAGGCTGAGACTGACCTGTGGCATAGCTGGTCGAGCCTGCACTTGGGTCCCTGCTACTCACACAGGAGAACTAGATGGGGTTCCAGGCCCCTGGCTTCAGCCTGGCCCAGCCAGGAACCATCAGGAGAAAACCAATGGATGGAAGCTCTCTTGCTCTTATTCTTACTCTGCTTTTCAAGTAGTTGAAAGTAAATAAAATACACATTCAACAGCAACAACAGCAGTAGAAGCTGAGCTGCTGGGTTGAGGCAAAAGGCTGGGATTCTAAGCTTCCTGCTGGGGAAAATAAAACAGGAACCTGGAGAATTTCAGGATTGGTATGGTCCCTAAAAGGGAAAAAAAAAAAAAAAAAAAAAAAAAACTACAGCAACTCTGCAGGAAAGAGCTGAGGTTAGGCTGGAAAATTTCTGTGTCTCTTCAAATGGGGGGTGTGAGCTGCAGCATTGTTTTCAGCAATATCCCGATGTGACAGCTGGCTAGGGATGGGTGCCTGTAGTACCAGTGTGGAGGGTCAGGGTCAGGGCCAGGCGGGGTGCTTCAGTGAGGAATCGGGGTGGGTGTGAAGGGGTGAGAGGATGGGGGCTGGGCACCCAGCTGGGTGGGCTGTGACAGGTCTCTAGTGGGTCTTCTCCATGAATGGATGGGCTGTGTGAGTGTTACACCCCGTGCCAGTCCGATTTCCTACTTTTGCTGATGTTGCCTGCATCATCGCGTCATAGGCACATTTCAGGCTGAACGAGGATATCAGTTATACACAAATACGGTTAGGCCAAGCAGTCTCCATAAAAATTTGAACAGAGAACCAAAGCATGAAAACGGTTACATCAGTGTTTCTCAAAGAAAACGAGTGGGTGTCTAATGCATTTGGCTTGCAGCACATGTTCTCAGGGTGTTTTTGCTGAGTGCCTGTAACAAATGTTTTTACCTTATGAATTTATGAATGTGCTTTATAGGTTAAGTGCTGTTAGTTGACATTAAGCAACATATTCCTAGGCCTGAAATAATTTTTGCCAACTATTGCCTCTAATCACCTTTGTTCGGTTTGGAAGTTCATCCGTTTGAAAGTTTATCAGTTTCCACAGGTTTGTGTTTGGACTCTGCAGCTGCCTTTATTGCTCAACTTTCCATGGCTTTGAAAGCCAGTGTGTGCTCCACTTTTCCCTGGCACTCCTCATACGGTGTTAAACCTTAGAAGCATTTTGGGAACCCTGGAATCTAAACTTTTGCTATTCTGCTCTTTCAAGTGTGTCTTGATCTTTGTAAGGTTTTGTTGTTACATTTCTGTGGTGTCTCCAAGAGTCTCAAACTGTCTCCAAGTCAATTTGTTTTTCAGTTGTAACTAACCAAGGATAACTTTGGTAAATATTTGCTATTGTTTTTGCTTCATGGCAAGTTAAGCTATCCCTTTAAAATGAGAGTGTTTTCATGAGATGATATTAAATTACCTAGCTATTTCTTTTTTGAATCTTACAGTGTTCAAGAAGCTAGCTTTTAAATATTCATACAGTTAGCTTATGGATGCAAATTACTAGTTAGCTATATGATGGAGCAGTTCATGACATTTTTATTAGTAAACATACTTTTTATATGTGAATTGAAAGTATTTATCTTCATTGCTAAATTGACAGTTTGCTCTGCAGGCTATTAACATTTCTTAAAGAAATTCAAATTTTATTTTTTCTTAGTGTTTTTTAATATGTAAGTCAACCTTGCATTTTTTTTTATTCTTTTAGAAGGAGTGTATAGCTGGCGCAGCGGCTCAATAGGCTAATCCTCCACCTGTGGTGCCGGCACCCCAGATTCTAGTCCCGGTCGGGGCGCCGGATTCTGTCCCCGTTGCTCCTCTTCCAGGCCAGCTCTCTGCTGTGGCCTGGGAGTGCAGTGGAGGATGGCCCAAGTGCTTGGGCCCTGCACCCCATGGGAGACCAGGAGGAAGCACCTGGCTCCTGCTTCGGATCAGTGCGGTACGCTGGCCGCAGCAGCCATTGGGGGGGTGAACCAATGGAAAAGGAAGACCTTTCTGTCTGTATCTCTTTCTCTCTCACTGTCCACTCTGCCTATCCAAAAAAAAAAGGAGTTTACATGATCTATAGGGCCTATGGGAGATTAGTCTTTGTACTCATTTTTCTCATAATGATAATAATAAAATAATAATTGAGTTTTAACTCTTCCTGTACAGAAAGCTTTCTTTTTCTTAATGGACACAGTTAGCAATTGATTATTAAATTGTTGACTTAAAAAGTCACCTGTCAGCCTTCCATCATAACAGAGTTGTCAGAGTTGTACAACACAGCTTTAGAATGCTCCCTGTATGCCAGATATTTTAAATATTTTCAGTGCTTTAAATATTCGTGAGGGGTAGCCTTCTTGACTGTACTGCATTTCACAGGGTCAAGAACAATTACCTCATCCTTGCTCCATATCCTCTCATGGGCTGCTTTGTGGTTGTTTGTGAGCAGGGGTGATATTCACAATATTTATCAACAGAAAACCCATCGGCACCAGTGAATCAGAAAGGGTGCCTGACTCCCCAGGACAGTTGACATCTGTGACGTGGTCTTGACACATGCTGACTGAACAACAGCCCTTCTGTGGAAACCTTGTAGTAATGTTTTGCTCAGGAAGGCCCTCCATGGAGCCGCCCAGTCCAGTCAAATGCACCTGCTGGAAAACATCTGTCATCTAAGTAAGCATTTGCGGCACCTGTTCTGATTTTAGGGCAGTTTGAAATCTGTGAGTAAGGAGTCAACACTGTGGCATAGTAGGTTAAGCCTCCGCCTGCAGTGCCGGTATCCCATCTAGATGCTGGTTCAGGTCCCAGATGCTCCACTTTTGATCCAG